AGAATATGGCATTTCAAGTGCAGGATTGCATGCGCTATTCAATGCCGCGAAGCATGGCCCTCTGTGCAGGCATAGAAAGGAAATCGATGTTGCCGCGGACGGCAACTACCAAATGTGTAGAAAAGGCGGTCGAACAGGAAGTCAAACTCCGTAAGCAATTGGCTGGTCGACCGCGCGAGATAAAACCATGAAAAAAAGACCGGCGGCGGGGGGTAGCGCCGAGCAACGCGCAGCGAAGCAGGCGAAGTCGAAGTCGCGGTGTAAGGCAGCGGGCAACGTTGAGCAATTGAAGCCGAAGGGAACCAGAGGAAGGATACGCACGTGGCCATTTCGAAGCGGAATATGCAACAACGAAAAACAATAGCATTAATTGTTTGGTGCTACGGCACCGAAGGCATGGCGACGACATCTGGTTGATGTCTAAAAGGGCAACAATCAGTTCAGACAGGCCGCGCATAGTTCATCACGATAGCACGGTACGTTTGATGCAGGGATGTTGTTGCCACCTGCATGATGTGCAACATTTGTATAGCAGTCTTGCGCTATAGGTAAAGCGGTTGGAACGCACAGCGCGCCCTCAGGTGGGTATTCCACAGCAGCCGACGCATGGCGTCTCATCGATGCGAAGTATTAATCGCCATACCGCGCGGGCGACAACCAACCAGTCATGTGTAGACAGAGGAGCGTCTTTATTTTTTTGCTTGCATCGATTCGCATCGTCGCAGCCCGCGTGTCCTCCTCCTTTCCTCGTGCACCCCCTCGTGCGACGACGATATGCCGCGCTCCCTGCTGGCGTGCAGATTGCAGGGTGGCAGGCGGATATCGACGGGGGGGCGACAGAGACCGACGAGTGGGGTGATGGGGGGCCGAAGATGCGAGGAGGACTAAACAGGACCGTGGATGTCCGATGGGCCGACGAAAGTCGAGGGAATAAGAAAACCACGGACATCGAGGGGAACCGATGGGCAGAGGAAACAGAGGTGGAGGAGAAATCGGTGGAGGTAGAGGGACCGAAGGATGGAGGAACCAGGAGGAGGAGAACAGGGAGTGGATATAGTGGAAGAGGAGGAGGGAAGGGGACGGATGAGGAGGAGGAAGAGACAACGGAGGAGGACAAGGAGGCAGAAGAGGAGGAGGAAGATGACGGAGAAACATAAGGGGAACAGGAGGAATAAGAGGCTGAGAAGGAGGAGAAGGGAGGAGGAAGAGGGAGGAGGGAGGAGGAAGGAGTAAGAGGGGGAGGAGGAGGAGGTGGAGGAGGAGGAGGAGGAGGAGGAGGAGGGAGGAGGAGGAGGGGAGGAGGAGAGGAGGAGGAGGGTGAGGAGGAGGAGAGGGGAGGAGGAGGAGGAGGAGGAGGAGGAGGAGGAGGAGGAGGAGGATCGAAGGATCGGACGAGAGAGAAATGGGGAATAAGGACCGAGAGGCCATGAGAGGATAGAGGAGGAACCACAGAAATGGAGGGGGACCGAGGAGGATAGGGGATGACCGCTGGGCCGACGGTGGTCGCTGGTCCGATTTCCTCCGTAGATGGCCCTTGGGGCCTCCACAAATATATTTCCTTCTATGGTTGACTAGGGGTTCCCATCCCAGGGAGAACGAATTCAAAACAAAAAACAAACACGGATTTCAAAATAAACTCAATCCAAATTGTGTGTTTTACAAGGTCTGGTGCCCGCCAAGGCTAGGAAACCTTGAAACACATTGGTGGATTCATGAGGTGCACCGAACAATTTTTAAACCAGACAAGCAGCAATGTATCGTGGCCTCGAGGCGCACCACACCATGTAAAAACACAGTCGGGATTGAGTTTATCTTAATTTGATAGTTTGAATTCTTTCTCTCTGGGAAGGGAATATCTACTCCGCCATGGAAGAAATCTAGGTTTGGTGTCCCCCAAGGGCCCTCCACAGAGGAAAACTGTGCGTGGATGCTTTCAGGAAGGGCCATATGAGGCTTCTGGAAGCTTCCAAAGACACCCAAATGCACTCTCACCTCCCCTGGACTGATCAGGGGGGCGGAGGGGGGGAAAGCACCCCCCGACTGATCAGGCGGCGGGGGGCTCTGAGATCACGCGCTCATACATGCATATCTATATGTATGTATATATATATATATATATATATATATGCGTGTGTGTGAATACAAAGCTACTCCTATATGGCACGCAAGCACGCAATTCTGACATGATATGCGGGACAGAGGGACATGATATGCGGGACAGAGGGAGTGTGAGATAGAGAGAGAGAGAGAGAGAGAACGAGAGAGACAGAGGGACAGACAGAGATAGGACGCGAGGGAGAGCGAGAGAGAGGGAAAGAGAAATAGCGGAACAAAACAGTGCGAGAGAGAGGGAGGCGGGAGAAAGGTAGGGTGCGGGAGACAGAGGGAGACAGAGAGAGAGAGAGAGGAAACAAGAGCGAGAGAGGGAACGCGAGAGAGCGAGAAAGAGAGAGAGAGAGAGAACGAGAGAGAGAGAGAGCGCAAGGGAGGGATCTCTCTCTCTCTCTCTCTCGATCTATATATATATATGTCTACATGTGAGCACACCCATGGTTTATTGAACAGGGAGAGGGTACGCGAGAGGGGATACGTGTATACAACAATGTATATATATATGTATACACATACATTTATACATATGCACATGCATATATATATATATATATATATGTGTATACACATATATATATGTATATATATGTATATGTATATATACATATATTTATGTACGTCGGAGAGGGATACGGCGAGCCATACTGACAGAAAGAGAGAGAGAGAGCGAGAGCGCATATGTCTTACCTAGGCCTTCGACTCACCTATACATTCATCAGTATGTACATGCATGCATATATGTATGCATGTATGTATGTATGCATGTGTGTTTTAATGGTTGCATAGTTGTCTATACACATCTATGTATGTCGACATGTATATGTGCACGTATGCATTCGCAAGTACACAACTGTTTACATGTGCCGTTTATGCGTAGTTACATCGAGAGTGGCAGAGGAAGAGAGACTGACCGAGAGAGGAAGTGAGCGAGACAGGGAAGGGGAGAGGGAGAGGTAAACGTATGTTCCAACCCGTGTGCATATACAGAGAGAGGGGTCCGAGGGATAATGACAGAGACTTAGAGAGATTTCACGAGAGAGAGAGAGAGATAGAGATCGACATATATGAAAGAGCGTGTTCTACCGCTGCTGGCGGAAAACCGGGGGGGGTCACTACCGGTTCGAACCCCTCCCCCCCCCCCCCCACCCGAAAACCGGGGGGGGTCACTACCGGTTCGAACCCCTCCCCCCCCCCCCCAGCTCATCATGAAAAGGGGGGGGGGGTCACTACCAGTTCGAACCCCCCCCCCCCCCCCCTCGAAAACCGAGTGGGGGTGCGGACAGTGGTGGGGACGGTGTTGGTGGGGACAGTGGCGAGGGGATAGCGGGACAGTGGTGGGGACAGTGGGACAGTGGGACAGTGGTGGGGACGGTAGTGGTGGGGACAGTGGTGGGGACAATGGTGGGAACAGGGGGGGACAGTGGACAGTGGTGGTGACGGTGGTGGTGGGGACAGTGGTGTGGGGACAATGGGAATGAGGTGGAAACAGTGGGACAGTGGAGGGTACAATGGTGGTGGGGACAGTGGTGAAGGCGGTGGCGAGGACGGCGGTGGGACAATGGGACAGAGGTACAGTGGGGACAGTGGTGGGGACAGTGGGGACAGTGGTGGGAACAGTGGGACAGCTCAGTGGGACAGCGGAGGAGAGTGGGACAGTGGGGACAGTGGGGATAGTCGGGCAGTGGTTGGGGCCGTGGAGACAGTGGGGAGAGTGGAACCGTGGTGGGAACAGTTCTGGGGACAGCGGGGACAGTGCGACAGTGGTGGGGCCACTGGTGGGGACAGTAGGGGCGGTGGTGGAACCAGTGGGGACAGCGGTGGTGAGGACAGTGGTGCTGGGAACACCAGTGGGGGATGTGATGCGGACGGTGGTGGGGACCGGGAGTCGTTTGCTGGCGGTGAGTAGGGGGGGGGGGGGGGGGGGGGGGGGGGGAACCGGTAGTGACCCCCCCGGTTTTCCGGATCCGGAGGGGGGGGGGGGGGGGGAGGGGTTCGAACCGGTAGTGACCCCCCCCGGTTTTCGAGCGGGAGGGGGGGGGGGGAGGGGTTAGGGGAGGGGGGGGTTTTGCCGGGAGAGAGGGGGGGGGGGGGGGGGGGAGGGGTTCCAGCAGGGGGGGGGATTTTCGGAGGGGGGGGGGGGGGGGGCGACCCCCGGGCTCCGGAGGAAAAGGTTGGCAATTTTCCACAGTAAAGCGGCGGTGGATCACGCTCTCTCTCACATAAATACAGGGCGATCGATATTACTATATATATATATATATATATATTATATATGTACACACATGTGGCACACATCTGTTTACACAGAGAGAGAGCGAGAGAGAGAGAGAGAAAGAGAGATAAAGAGAGAGAAAGAGAGAGATAGAGCGAGAGAGAGAGAGAGAGAAAGAGAGATACAGAGAGAGAGAGAGAGAGATGACATACAGAGAGAGAGAGAGAGAGATAGAGAGAGAGCGAGAGAGAGAGAGATAAAGAGAGAGAGAGAGAGAGAAGGGGAGACAGAGCGATAGAAAAGAGAGAAAGAGAGTGTGAGTGACGGATAGGTGGAGAAAGCAATATAGAGAGATACATAACAAGAGAGAGAGAGAGACAGAGAAATAGAGAAATAAACATATATACATATATACATATATATATATATACATACATATATATACACATATATAACACATGAGAAGTAAAGAGACAGAGACGACCGAGGAAGAGACAGAGATGTCCTTGCATCGTGCCTCCTCGGCCTTCCGCTGCTCCCCCCCACCCCCCGTCTCCCCCGTCTCCCCCCTTTCCCCCCCCCCCGGTCTCCCCTCTCCCCCCCCCGCGCGCCGCCCCTCGTCTCCTTCTCGCCTCCCCGGTGGCCTCCAGCCGGCCGAGTGGTCCTCCGCCCCCAGGTGGTTCGCGAGGTGGCGGGCTTCGCGCCCTACGAGCGCGGCGCTCGGGCGGCCGCGGACTCGCGCCGCTTCGGCGCGGCTCCCGCGCGGCACCCGCAAGCGGGGCACGGTGCAGCGAGAGGCGGCCAACGGCGGGCGCAGCCCACGCGAGGGGCCTCCGGGTCGCGGGCCCCCTGGGGTCGCGGTCTCGGCGGCGAGCCTGGGGGGGATCGGGCGGGGGGCAACCCATACATGATCGCGTCGTTTGAAAAATCTGGACGGGAAGTGTTTGGCCGATTTCGGCCTCGGGGGGCCCTCGCCAGGCGTCGGGAGCGTTACAAAACGATTCAGGATGAAAAACCGGTCCCGGGGAAAGGGTCGGGACTTCCAGGGACCCCGTATGGAAACATTCAGGACGTCGCATGTCTGGGGATGAGGGGTAACCTCTTGTAGGAGGAGGAGGAGGAGGAGGAGGAGGAGGAGGAGGAGGAGGAGGAGGACGAAGACGAGGACGAGGACGACGACGAGGACGGGGACGAGGAGGAGGAGGAGGAGGAGGAGGAGGAGGAGGAGGAGAAGGGAGGGAATGGGGGAGTTGGAGGACCCTGTTTGGGTCACCCCCATGAGCAGCCGCCCGAGGGGGAGCGGGTCGGAGGCGGGCCTTCGCTCAGCAGGCTCGCGGGCGGTCTCGGGCCTTCGCCCCGCGGGCGCAGTGAGAACTTCGGTCAAGGCCGGAGGGCTTCTCCGAGGAGCCCCCCGCCGCCCGGCGAGGGAGCACACGGGGGACACCCACAGGGGATATCACGCTGTGCGGGGAGGTCTCGCTGGGAGGCAGGCGGGAGGTGGGGACGAGAGAGCGAGCGACCAAGGAGCGCGCGACCTCGGCAGGAGGGGCAGCGAGGGCGCAGCGAGACGCTCTGCCTTCCCCCCCCCCCCAGAGGCCCGTTCTCTTCTCTGGCCCCAGGACCCGCGACGAAAAGAGAAGGATGGATGTAGCAACGGTCGCATTGGATCCAAGCCGGCTGCGGTCGGATTTTTCTTACTCAGCGTGTCGCGCCGCGGGTTCTGGCCCATCACGCTTGGGCGCGACACGCTGCCCACTTCCAAGCCGCCCAGCGTCCACGTCTCGAGCCTTCCCGAGCTTCCCACCCCGCAAAGAGGGGCGACACGCTATCCGCTCACAGGGCACAGCGTGTCGCTGGGGTCGCCGCGGCGACACGCTAATCCAAAGTTTTTGATCGTAGCGCTCGCACTGGATTCAGGCCGGCTAGACGCTTTGAGCATCGCTGCAGTAGGTTGCGAGCGAGTTTGGTGGAACAGGGGCCTGGTGCAGGAGGTATTTCACCTTGGCAGGCCACCCATGTCAAGGCGTCCGGATCCAGGCGGGCGGGTCGCTGCAGTGTCTGATTTCGTTTACGAAGTATTCCTTGTTTTGTTCAACAGGAAGCTGGGTCACACTACCGCGCTGTTTCTGCCCGCTCGGGATCTGATCCTAGCCGGCATCTGCCCCTGGGTCCAGTTGGCACATTCGCTCTCTGTTGGCATGATCTGCCTTTCGATGGCGTGCGCATGCATGTCGCTTTCGTGCAGCTTCAGCGCACGGGGGCTGTATCACCATTATCTTCGTGAGAAGAGGACAGGCGCGAGGTCTACGTCCGAGCAGGGGCGACTCGCATCTAGCGGAATCTAGCGGCCCAAATTCAATGCTTTCCGCGCGCCGCCACTTTATTTAATAATCCTCTGGACGGCGCGCACGGCTCCGAAACATGTTTCGGCATGCGAGCTGCAGGGAAACGCCCCGGAAACCATCGGATGTAAGGCGGAAGTTGTAGGGCTCCCGCCCCCAGAATTGGAGAAGCGACGGGGTTACCCTCACGATTTGGTGCGCAGGGGGGGGCGCATCCGAGTGTTTGGGATAATGGTTTCCCACTGTGCTGCCACGCGGGTCCCCGCGCGGTTCGCCGGGTCGGCTGTGGATCTCCTGAGCCATATATGCCAGCTGATTCTGAAAATTGACAGAGTGGACGCAGCAGCTTTCTTTTCTCACTTGTTTCCAAGCCGCTCGCCTTTTTGTCGCGCATTGTGATTTGCGAAAGGAAACCATACCATGTGAAGTGGGTTGTGAGCCTCTGATGGATATGTCCGTCTTAGCGTCGCAGGCGCGGTCAATCAATCGTTCTTGCTCTGCCAGCTTGCCCGCCCACCCCATGCGGGGCCGAAGTGGTAAGGTAGGGTGACATGCGTGTCCGTTCGCGTGTTGGCTGTGGCACTGCAGTGTTTTCCTCGTGCGGTGTCGCGTCCCTCCTGGTGCGGCACATAGGGAGAGCCCTCCGCTCGAGCGCGACGTGCGCGACCGCCTGAGGCGCCGCATGATCGAGTTGCTGCGGGTCGGCTCCGCGGCGACGCTCAAGCGCGCCCTGAAGGTCGCAAAGAAGCGCCTGGGTGCGCCGCTGCCCCCGCGCGCGCTCGCTGCGCCGAGGGGGCCGCTGCTCGGCTGCTGAGTGCCAGAGGAGGAAAAGGTGCCGATACAGCTACGGTCGGGAATTTGTGGGTCGCGTGTCTCTCCGCTAATTCTAGCCCACCGCGTGTCGGCGCGACACGCTATCCACTCCGCTGTCCCCAGGCGTCAACGCCTCGAGCTTTGCGTGCCTCCCCCCTCGCGGAGCGGAACGGCACGCTAACCGCT